GAGGATTAGTTTTATATTTTGCAGTATACAAAAATTTTGGGTTATGTTTCTCTCTTTTACTGTTGACTAAAAACACATTAAAATGCAGTGAGATCAAAATTACTTTGATTTTAAATTTGTTCCGGTGAGTGACGATCACAGCCACAACAAAGAACAAAAAATAGAAAAAAAAACAAAACTAAAATTACAATTAAATTACAATTAAATTAAATTTTATTCTGACACACAAATCAGATATCCGAAATGTTAATTGCTTCTCTCTGTTTCGTTTATTTTTAGTACAATATCCAGTGGGCCAGTTAGTCAGTGAGCGAATGACTTAATGGGCGAGAGGTGGCTAATTAAAAAAAAAAATAAAATAAAAAAGAAACGACAAGTCGCAAAAGATAGAACAGTAGAGAACAAGAGTAAGAGTAACTGGGTCGAATAAACCACAGGTTTCAAATACGTTCTAGATGGGATTCTAATGCATGAATGTAGATGGGACATCACGACAAAAGTTTCCCAGGGTGAGACTCTATTCAAGTATCGACTTCGTATGTGAAACCACCCAAAAAATTCTTACAATACACAACTGTAGAGAGTAAGTAGCTTCACATAATACAGTGTACATAAAAAAATAATTTGATTTTCTGTCTTTTGTATTACGTTTTCAAATCCGAATTTTTTTTACCTATTGTGGCAAATGCTCACTCAAGTCCAAAAAAAAAATAAAATTTTGATGGGGAGTTGGGTATAAATGACAAAGATGTTCGACAACTTGTGTGACGTTTTGTTTTGACTTGTTTCCCTTTGTTTTGTTTCGTTTTGTTTTGATTCTTTACTAGTCTCAGGGAGATAATGACAGGCGGATAAAATAAAAAAAATGAAAAGAAAAGAGAGAGATTAGAGTCAAAGCAAGGCGACTTTATGGGGTGGTGTGATATATCCTTGAAGTGAGGTTAATTGATTAACCCTCTTGTTGTTTGTTGCCACGTAGATAGACTGAAGTGGAGAACAGGAAGAGTTTGGAAATTTCCAAAGAATTACGGAAAAAAAAATAAAGAAAAAGGAACTCATGCAGAGGGGTGATCATACTAGCTATCCTTCTTCTTGCTCATTTGCATGTGTCTAACTCTTCTCATCCTCTGGAACTTCGGAATTCGAAATTTGAAAATTTAGATGAAATCCGAAACCTTTGTACGTTTTGAATTAAACAATAGAAGAAACATTAGAACACTACAATATACAGGCAAGTGGAAACTGAAATCCGTTTTGTAACATTGATGTTTAAAGACGTTAGTTGGTTCTGCATATAGACACTATACTCCTAATTCTGTGTTCTATTTCCTTGTTTTCCTCGAAGACAATTCTAAATGTAAGCGTTTATGCATATATGCATATGCGTAATCTCTTAAAACTGTGCATAGTGCATATAATATGTGTAAAGTGGAGAGGAAAAATAAATCAGACTGAAATTTGGGAACAAACGAAGAAAAAAAAAAAAGAATAGAACAAAGAAAAAGTGAAGAAAAGAGAAATTCTAGACCTCACACACACACACATACACACACATATATATATGCATATATGTACACGCACAATGTGTTAATTGTATTACGTAATACCAACAAAAAAAAAAGGTTCTTCTATAACATTAACAAGGTAAGCATTGGATGTATGAGCAGATTGGGGCGCATGCATCAGTCTTCTTTTCCAAAAGTATGTTCAACATCTGGTTCCAAGTTATAACATGATGTTATCCAACTCAACCACACACACACACACACACACACACACAGTCCGTTCACTTCTGTTGTAGTAAGATCTCTTTGTCCGCCATACACCACCGCAACATATGCAAATCTAAATCTAATTGTATACGGTGTATGTATTTAGTCAAATTCCAAGATTTCAGGGCCAAGAACTTACACTCTTTCAAAATGGCCTGTTTCGCGCATATGTTAAAGATGTGAGAGATGCGGATCATCAGTCCACACATATTTTAGCTTGGAAGGTGTGATGTTAATTGGATTAGGTCTACTTCATGTTTTCATCTCATGTAGTGTATTCATCAGTTTAGCTTGTGCTTTCGTATCAATAAATGATGTTCTTTTTTGACGTAATGCCACAGCCATTAATTGTTCTGTTCTTTTCCGTTTAAATTCGCTCTTCGTTTTCCTATCCATTCCGTTGGTTTTTTCTTTCTCTTGTCTTCTCTTGTCTTCTCTTGTCTTCTCTTGTGTTTTGTTCTTCTTGTCCATAAATAAGCATTTGTGCTTTGTGTACTCTTTGTCTCTATGAAATCACACAAACATAAAACTCATATAATACGACACTATGCATATTTCCACGAAAAACAGAAACAATTAACGAATAGAAAAGTTAATTCCTTAATTTTATTTTATTTTTTATTTTTTCAAACTTCTTATGTCACTAGGTGACATCACCCTCTACGTTTACTCTCACTAACTCTGTCAAAACGCTTCAATAACCTCCCCTTCAACCCACACTTTAATAACCCCTTTTCTCATGCAGTGTGTGTTCGTAAGTTACACATTATTTTAATATTTCCTCCTCTTCTTGGAACGACTATAGTGACATATGTTGTGAAAAAAAAAAAAGGTGAAATATAAATAGAAGTCAAGATTACCCATCAACTGTCATTAATAGGCTTCTCTTTCAGCACCTATCTGTTCAGAAGTTGAATTACTTTAACGTTACAGTTACACTTGCATAGAATAGTACAATACAACAACAATTACTACTTCTACTACTACTACTACTACTACTACTACTACCACAGTCGTTGTATTTTCTTTGCACAATTTATTTTGCAAACTACTACGTCATTGTCAAGATCTATCCACCACAACTACAATAGAGGCTGTTACTAGTTAAAACAGTTGTCTCAAACCGCAGTTCCGAAACATATATACCTCTTCTAGAAAACAGGAGGATCAGGTTTCACAGATACAAAAAGTCTCGGAATTGATATCGAGAGAGTTTAGCCACAACACACCAATATATTATTATCACTCCACACACAAAGGGTATCTCACCCACAGTTGAAAGAAGAAGAACAATAGGACTATTCTTTTGTTTAAAACAACTTTACACGACCTAACAAAAGAAGTACTGAACTCCGTTACACAAAGCGGAAGTGAAATTTTAATTTTTTTCTCGAGGAAGTTAAAGACAAAGACAAAGACAAAGAGAGAGAAAGTCACACACATATTCACACATATACACAGTCTAGAAGTATTATTTTAATTTTTTTCCTTGGTTATTTATTACACTATAATACATACAGATACAGTACAGTTCAGGAGAAAGTTACAAAAAATCAGACACACATACATCATACATATTAATTATTATTATTTGTGACATAATACATTATACATTATACATTGTACGTTGTACCAAGTAAGTGAGACAAGAGAGACACATATTTCATTCATCATCCATCAATTCATCATCCCCCCCTCCCTCCCCCCTTTATTCTCCAAGAAATACATTATTTAAAGGTTCACATTTTCCTTTCAATCTGACATATATTCCTTTTCAATCCACACCTTACTAGCCACACTTTTATCCATCCCACAGTTATAACATACTTACTGTGGATATACTAATACTACAACTTACTCAAAGAGCATACACCAGTACAGACAACTGTGTATCCCCCCCCCCCCTTCACCCTCACCCTCACCCTCGCCATCACCCTGGCCTTTTACTTCAATTGATTTGATTGGAACTATACTACACTTACATTCACTATACACACACATATATCCACACAAGATGGTTTATCAAACAGAAGCAGCCAAATGGAAGGCTTACCAATTTAGTGACCCCTTTGCCGCGGGTTCCTTCTTCGTTTGCAACAAACTCAATCGGTTTTTTTGTCGTCCAGATTGTGACGCTAGACCTAGAACAAACTTGAAGTCAGAAATCAAATTCACCACCAGTGCCAAAGAAGCAGTACAATATGGTTTCATACCCTGTGAGTCTTGCGACCCCATGCACAGCACTGCCATTGACATTGGTTTACTCATCAAGTGTGTCTCCTCAGTCAATACAAGAATTGGATTCATGCCACCACTTTTGGATGAAAATGAAGATGTAAATTCAAAAAAGATTAAGGAAAACATTTTGGAGTCAAAGAGGGCCAATGAAGTACAGATTTTAAACGCTGTTGGTGGTGTTTCCGAAGGCAATGGTGGACGTCGCGCCTCAATGTCTGCTGCTACTCTACACAATGGAAAGGGGTTGAAGGATGCTGACAATGCAAATCTTTCCAAGAACGATTCTGATCATTATAGGCTAGTGGACTTGGCATGTCGTCATTTGGCTCTTGCTGCTGCTGTTAACGTATTCCAACCAAAACCACTTGCTCACACACCAGAAGAAAGCAACTCGCCTTTGGAAACAGGTGCTAGCGGCAACAGCTCAAGAAAGAGAAGAAGAAGGGGTGGTGTTCTCGGCTTCAAAGAATTGGCAGCAAAATCCAAGTTGAGCGCATGGCACTTTCACAGAGTTTTCAAGTCAGTCACTGGGTTGACTCCAAAGACTTATGGTGACAAGTGCTGGGAATTTGTCAAGAAGGTTAAGGAGAGTGGCGAATACACCTCTTTTGAAGCTTATCACTCACCTCAATCTCAATCTCCAAAGTCTACTACACCAAACTCGCCAATGTCGATGGCCACCGAAGCCAAGGCGCCAGCAAGTAAGAAACCAAAGTTGGAGAGGCAAAAACAACAACAACAGCAGCAGCAACAACAGCAACAACAGCATATACTTTCCTCATCGTCACCATCATTGTTTACAACACAATCAATTACTGATGAATCGAGACTTGCAGCTGCTCAACAGTCGATTACTCCACCACACTCTGCTGCTTCGATAACTGGTCAATTTCCAATACTGTCGTCACAACAATTGCAACCATTGACTCCACCAAATCAGTACACGTCTCCAACCATAAGTCAAATGAATACGGTACAATCAGTAGTACCCGATGCTTTTTACCCGGGCCATCACCACCAACCATCACTTGATGAGCAATTGCAAGCATTGCCAAACTTGGACTTTGATTTGTATGATGGAGAGGATATACTACAGGGACAGGGACAGGGACAAGAGGAGGAACAAGCTGCACTTCACACAAAGGCATTTTCATTCCCTGACTTGTCAAAGTTCCGCACAGTCTCGTTGTTTCAAAACCAGCCAAATTACCAGTCAGGTAATCCATCATTGTTTCAGAATAATACAACTAACACCGCCAATACCGCCAGCAACAGCAACAACAACAACAGCAACAACAACAACGGCATAAACACAAACACAAACGTGAATAATAACACACTAAATTTGGGTTTTGAAGACGTTGTACCAATGGGTTCGGTGGATCTCGTTGATACTGTGGGAACACAAGTTGATTTCAGTGACTTTATCAATTCTACAAACAAGAGCAACACCACCAACAATGGCAATTTTGTCAACCAACTACAGCCAGCATTGGGAGTATCCTCATCCTTATCACCCTCTTCAGCATCCACATCCTCTCCATCAAATGCTCCCAGCCATGGTCTTGACTCGGTAACGGTGCCACAAGATGAAGAATTTGAATTTGCTGATGCGTTCACTCAAGATTTATTCAATCCACAAGCTCCATCAGTTATTGATTCTACATTTTCACCATTTGACACTACAGGTGGTGGTGGTGGAAGTGGTGGTGGCGCTTTGGGATCTGGAGTTGCGTTTAATGATGAGTTGGATTTCACAATGAATCCTCATTTGGTTTCAACTATAATAGAATAAACTTGGATTGGTTTAAGGATTTTATAACGGTTTATATCTTCTTTTGTACTTTTTTTTTTTGAAAGTATTTCTTTATAATAGTTTTGTTTAATGATTATAACTTTATTCAGATTACTACTACTACTACTACTACATTGTGTATTGTAGACTCGAGGCATTATACGTGTATGTTTTGTGCTGAGTTACATGGGATGAATGTCTAGTTGGGTAGAATCAAGATGTTGACTTTATTTGGTTACGATATTGACTGAACTACAGGAAACGTTTTGTATGTGTTTTGTTTTATATTTGTCTTGGTGTGGAGAGTGAGCGAGACACACAATAAAATACAATACAATACAACACAACACAACACAACATACAAACTAAAAGAGATCGGCACTAGTGCCGTGAATATATAATATACCTCCGCCACCCCTTTCAAGAAATTTTATTTGGGTGTCTTAGATCTCTCCTTGGTAAGACATGACCATTTCCATCTCCTATTGAAAAAGAATGAGGAAAAGAGTGGTCTCCTTATAATTTCGTCCGCTCATTTTCCACTGCCTCCCCCCATCCTTCTCCTTCTCCCTCTCCGCCTTCCGCCTTCTTGCACAAAAGAAATTTCAACTTATGTGTGTGTGTGGGCGATTTTGTGAGTGCTCAAGGCGGGCAAGATTTTTACGAGTCGGTGGAAACTCTCCTCATCCAAACTCCGAGTCCAAAATAGAGAAACAAAAAAAAAAAAAAAGAAAAAGAAAAAATACGAAGTAATGGGATGCCGAGTCCTATGACTTAATGTAGTGGATCGTCTCCTTTATTGCATGGTTTGCATATGTACTCTCTCCATTTCTCATTTATCCTTGAAGTTGTGGCGTGAGTGAGTGGCTTTGAATTTCTAAGGTGGTGTCTTGCAGATTGTAAAATGATGATGAGAATTCCCCCACACAAAAACAATGCGAGAGAGAGAGAGAGAGTGTGTGTGTATGTGTATGTGTTTGTGTAAGGGATCTTATGAAGCACAAAATGAGAAAACATACGATGGAAAGGGATTTCTAATTGATTGTGTGATGACGTAATTTAGTGTATCTTTGTTTGTTTGTTTTTGGTAGATTGAATGGAATTGTTCTCTGATAGACCACACATTTTGGATGATGTGATGGATGTTGATATACTTGTGTACGTTGTGTCCTAAGTTGTCGAGAATTTGGGGTTGTTGAGGAGAAAAAAAGAAAAACAAACAGAAAACGTGCGTAAAAGTCATGGATGTTGATATCACCGAAAACGGAAATGTTAACAACACACACACACAACAAATTTATGAGGAACATCAATCCTTTTTGGTTATTCTTTTATCAATCTCATGTTCTGACTTTGCTTTAGGGTTAATGGTGGGGGCATATTGAATATGGCATGCGTTAGCTTACCTCTTTATGAATCAGTCAGAACTTGTTATACAAAGCTTTCCGAGAACGCAAAATTGAACAGAATCTTTGAAGAGCTGCATAGAGAAATTGCAAAATATAATAAACCAAAGGGGGACTACCGACTGAAATGTGTGACACCAAAGACAAAAAGAGGGAAGAAGAGAGAAGGATTAAGAACTGGCACATCAGTCCAAAAAGCATTAGGTACATATGTATGTGTACATAATGATGGTATTCTTGAGATTTTCCCACGTTTTTGAACTTGTGCCAAAAAAGAAAAAAAAGAAATATTTCACATTTCCGAAGTCCGCGCATTAAGGGAAAGGACAATACGATTAAGTGATGCATAACATCATCAGCAACAACGTGCATCAATGTAACGTGGTTGGGAAACACAACATTTTAAGGGACAGTTAACTGATGTTCAATTTTTTTGTATAATCACTACGGGAAACTCGAGGTTCCGGTTGAACCTTGTTTTCCTGTTACGTGATGCAATCTGCAACAATTTAAAGTTTACAATTTTTCTATTTTTTGTGCTTATGCTTTCATTTATTGTGCCTAGTGGTGGTGGTTCTATTACTAATACTAGTGATAGTATACCACTGCTTAAGCCCTGTGATGAACTAAAAAGTTTAACTCTTACTTTGCAGCACAAAGTGGAAGTGCAACTTGGAGAAAGAATCAATGGTGACGAAAGAAAAGTTTAATGTTGACGTCATTAGCACATAGGACACACACACACAAGCACACACACACACAAGCACACATATATAGCATACTAGTAACCAGGCCCATACAGTTTAGTTGTTTATCTTTTTGCAACTGTCAAGCACAAAACTTTAAAAAGATCATGGAAACTTTAGATGGGAGTAACACAAGGTATAGACTTTATAGAACAAGCACATATATATATATATATATATCAATGTAGTATGCGAGATAAAAAAGCAAACTTACTTTTAACAAAATGGGCACAATTCGTGTTTGAATTGGACAAGAGTATCCTAAACTTGACTATGAATAAAAATGGTTGTCTATTTAGTTATCAATCAATTCAGCAACTAGTCCCATCAATTTATCATGAAACTGCTTCTTATCCATTTGTTTCTTGGCCAACAATTGCTGCTGATGCTGATGCTGCTGCTGTTTCTGCTGTTGCTGGTCCTGGTTCTGAGTCTGAGTTTGAGTCTGAGTCTGATTTTGAAGGTGATGGCTTTGAGACAATTGTTGTTGCTGCACATTGAATAACTCGTCAATCAGATCCCATACCGATTCAATATATGAGATTAACCGTCTGTCACCAACACATTTCAATGGGGAGTAAATTTTGTGGATCTTGGTCTTGTACGAAGTAGATACGGGTGCAGGTGCGGGTGCAAGTGCGGGTGCAAGTGCAGGTGCATGCGTAGATCCGACAAATCCATTACTGACCTTATTACCTCCTTCATCACTCGTCATATCACGTGTTCTTTTGGGTTCACTTCCCATCTTATTCAAATATTCTTGGTTTTGTTGTTGTTGTTGCTGCTGCTGCTGCTGCTTGGCATTATCAATACTCATTTCAATAGTCTTAATCTCTCGTGCACGCAAATTGACAAATATGGTCCTAGTAGTAATCGTGGAATATCTATAATTGTTTTGATAGTAAATCAAATCATTCTTCATCGAGCTCATCACTTGCGGCTCCAACTTGGGATTTATGGGACACGATTGTAGAATAAACTCGGGTCGATACTCGTCACAGTACCCAACGCAAGGTAGTAGGATATTGTGTTTGAAAATTGTTGATGACGTAGGCGTGAAGGAGCTTTTGGTGTTGGTTTCTTCTTCTTCATTAATGTTGCAATTTGTTTGTGATGGATATCTTTGGTCAAATTGACATTCAACTTCAACTTCTGTTTCCCTTTTCTTGCATTTGGGTGTACTCTCCATGATTTGTTTGCATTTAGATTGTATTGTTGAACGATTATACTCGGCAACATTCTTGACTAGTCGGTCACTTACAAATGGGGTGTACACACTAGTCTTTGATCGTTTTACTTCAAATATATTTGAAGAGCCTCCATTGCCATTATTGCCACTCTGATGATGATGATGATGAGTATGGTTATGGTGCTGGCCCGTTTGAGACCCATGAATATCATCATTTGCTAATGACGGGGATGAGGAACGGGACGATTCCGACAATTGCTCCTCACTCATTGAATTCATCCCCAAATCATACAAGTCATAAAGCGACTGTGTTCGTGAAATTTTGCTTGGAGTCATTGACATTGGTGACGCTATCGAATTGGTATAGCTCGGTGAGTGCCAGTTGAAATCATCATGTTCAAACCCTGGAGATGGGGTTCGTAATGATTGATGTGACGATTTCCGCATTCCCAAGCTCGGTGGTGGCGGTGGTGGTAGTGGTGGTGGTGGTAGAGGCGCCTCATCGAAATATCCACCCATGGTACCGCCCCCAATTGATGCATGCAGTTGTTGATTGGTGAATGAATTTCTCCATTTTTCAATAAATGAACCGCTACTAAAGCCTCCACTAGTACCTCCTCCTGCTCCTGCAAATTTGGAAAGTGAATAGTTGGACTGTAGTGACGAATATGACGAGTTCAATGAAGATGATAGTTGGGCTAATGATGCTGTGTTGGAAAGCGACGACGATGCTTGCGAGGTTGTTGGTGTGTTTATAGGAATACCGACAGCTGGTGTTTGTGACGATTTTGGTGTCTTTATGGGAATGCTAACTGCTGATGGTTGTACTCGCGACACTTCATGAGCATAGCCACTTAAAGTGGCACGCTCCGTTACTACGCTATTGGTTAACGTAGACGGCGAATTCCAGTCATCGTCAGTTGAGCATGTACCATCAGAGGTTCTTTCATCACTTTGCGAAACGGTAGCATCGTCGCTGCTGCCGTGATTACTGCTATCGTTGGTATTGTTGCTGTTGCTGTTGCTGTTGCTGTTGCTGTTGCTGCTGTGATGGTGGTTGTTTTGGTGGTGGCTATGTTTGTTGGGTGTGAATACGTAGTGATTTGTGTTTCCACATTGAGCAGACTCGGTATTAACAATCAACCCATTTAATATGAATACTAATCGTTTCGCCACCGCTGGATTTCCCGTCATAACAACCACTCGTGTAACTTCACGAGTGTTGGATAAATCATTGTAGTACGGTCTCAGACCCAATGATTTCCTATATTTCATCAACAAAGACATCAAAGTTGCGAGAAACGATGGGATTCTATCATTATGGGAATTGCTAAAAAGAGTGTTGCTGTTGCTGTTGTTGTTGCACCTGCCATCCTTAAACTCAAGCCAGTTGAGGGTTTCCAAGATCCAATTCATTAAGCATGAGTTATAGCTGGTCTTGTTAACTTTTATAAAGTAGTTTGTATTTATCAACCTTGGTGTGTTGATATCATAGTGTATTAGTTTGATTAGTTTCCCCAATTGAGAATGTATTTCCAAATCATTTTGAAGAATGTAATTGGAGAATTGTAATCTCTTCTTGACTAAGTATTCACATCCGTTGGTCCCATTATTATCAATAACCAGATTCAATTGCAGGATTAGTTTTCGATACACCAATTTTTGCAACAAGGTTAGAAAATGCGAAATTTCACTCCATTCATTTATGATATCCTCATGGACAAAATTCCCACTCTCTAAAGGTATCACAACCCCAATGGAAAACCTGCTATTCATTTTCAAATTGTTGAGCTTGACTCTTGATTCTTTGGAACTTGCCGCTGACTTGGGATCCCAATCGCCGCCTTCATTACTTTCCTGCTGCTGCTGTTGAAGTTTTTGCTTTTGCTTTTGTTGCGGCAGGCAATTGGCGTTGGGAATGGAAGATGTTGATGTGTCAGCATCACTTATAGAAAATAGTCGAGTAATCAATACTGCGTGATAAGAAGTGGATGAGTTTGTGATTGGGGGCAAAGTATGCAATTTGGTGATTGTTTGTACTTCATTAGTAGGTAACCAACAGCCAAATGATAAATCATTCAAGTCGGTCGTATTGTGGTATATGCGCAGATTGGAAGTAGTCAGTTTTCTCAATGGTACACGCCTCAGTTCTTGGCATGGGGGTGATTGAAGGGGCGTAGTACACAGTTGTTGCTGCTGCTGCTGCTGGATCAGATCATAAGCAGAGTCAAAGAGTATCTCCTTTGACCGTAGATTACCTCCATCCTGAGATATAATGATTCTGAAATATTTGCTATTGAATTGAAATGGTTTGAGCAGATTAGCATTACAAGTCCCATACAATATTTCTCTCGAGTGTGAGTCTTCAAATGGGGTGGTTATGGGAGGTGAAGCCAGTGATGTGATTTGTTGTGACGTAATGTGTATTGAAGTATTGTTGGATGTGGGATTATTGTGTTTGAATAATCTACCAAGCATATTATGTAGAGACAACTTTGTTGCTGTATGGGTCCATATCCGAATTCAAATTCGAATCTCTCTCTATACCTCTAACTCTGTACTTTCTCTGTTCTTTGGTCTATGTAGAGAAAAACACTGTTTGTCCAGAATGATTTATAACTCGTCCGTCACTCCTGTTTGCTATTTTGTTTCTTTGGCTGGTTAGTTGTTTGGTCTCTCTCTCTTTCTCTTTCTCTCGCAGATAAAAATAAAAAAAAGAAATGTTTTGAGAAAACAGTGAGTGAGAAAGAGTGATGGAGATAATGATGGAGATGGAGAAACTGTCTCTCTTCTCTCTCTTCCTCTCTCTCTACTTCTTCTAGATAATATATCTCTACTATTTTGCATCTTACTTAAATCACTCAACATTGTAACATCATCAACTTCACTAAGCCTCCTGCTATGTTCTGTTTTCTTTTTTTTTTTTTTGGCTTTATTTGCCTCCAGAAAAAAGAAAACCGTTTTGCGGATGGATTTTGATGTTAAGGCTACAACAGTTTTCTTTTGTAAGCAGTACTCTCTTTGACTGCAAGGAAGTACTTCTTGATTTAACTATTAAACTACTGAATTAACCTGCCACTCCTCCTCGTATGCTTTCTAGATGGACGTTTCCAGTCTTTCTTTCTTCGCTTCGGAATGCTGCATCGAAAGGGCGGAATTTTTCTTTAGCGACTATGGCGGGATTTTTCAATCTCAATTTTAATAAACAAGCGAGAGCGAGAGAGAGAGAAATAAAGAAGGAATACACAAAATTCAATATAACCATTCTCTCTCGGAGTTCAAGTTCCATGAGAGATGATGTATTTGCCTGTAAGAATAACATTGCAAGAGATGCTGACACTGTGCTTAATACAACCAAAGGGTATTACTGTTTCAAAGTTTCTTCTACCATAACTCCCATGGTTGTAAACAACTCAATAAATTTAATCATAGATTCAAGTATATACAAATACTCCTACTCTTCTTCCTCCCTTTACAAACTCTTGATTGTATCTTCCAACACATTCAAAAACACATCAGCGTGTTTCTTTTCAAACAACAACGTAGGTCTCAATCTAATTGAAACGTCTCCACATCCACCCATATTCACTCCACGACTTCTAACACCAGCCAACACCTTATTTCTCAAATTTGCATCAAGACAATCCCACGCAATAAACGTACCAAAGTTTTCACCTCTCAAATTGGTAAATTTACCATTGGACTTGCCAACAAGTGTTTGCAAGCCTTGATACAAGTAGTTACCGACTTGAGCTGTACGCGACACCAAATCAGATGCAGCAATCTCCTTGTAGATGGCTTTTGCCAAAATGGCTTTGGATGGATCTCCACACCAAGTGTTAAATTGTCTATACGGTTGATTTGGTTGTAATTCCGGATTACTGAAATAAAACCCAGCAGCTTGGAATTTTTTGGAAAATGTAACCATGTCGGGTGGCGACGACAAGTTCCAGTGTTGATGTGCCCAGAATTTACCAGTTGCTCCAACACCAGTTTGAACTTCATCAACAATCATCAATATTCCATGTCTCTTGGTCAAGTCTCTCAATCCTTGAAAGAAAAATGGTGTTGCATGATTATCTCCACCTTCTGATTGAACTGGCTCAACGATTATCGCGGCAATTTGTTTTGGTGAATTTTCAATGATGGATTCAAATTGATACAAGCATCGTTCCTCCTCTTCTCTATTCTCAGCTTCAAATTCATTCAAGGGATACTTCAATTCGGGGAATGGTGCCTTGGGCCAAGGAAACGCAGGAATATCCAATTTATGAATTGCTTTTGATCTAGTTGTTGATAATGAGCCAAATAATCTTCCATGGAACCCCTTATCGAATGACAAAATCACCATATCTGACGCACCAGGAGTTTCGTTATTCATAACACTACTCAACTCCTCCTCGGTAAATGAATCCAATTGTCTCAATTTTGCATGTTGGTACATGAACGCCGCCTTGTATGCAGTTTCATTCGCATCGGATCCACTCAACGATGTCCAAATCTTATTCATCCCTGAAGGTGCAGCAGCCAACAATCCTTCCTCAAGTATATCCTTGTAATTTGTCAGTGGGAAACACGCCAACGCCGGACGATTAACAATTGCCGATGTCATTTCATCTGATTTGGCAGCCTCAATCAATTTTGGATTGTTGTAACCCAAGGCAATGGATGATATTTGACAATACACATCAAGCAACTTGTTGCCATCGGCATCGCTGATGTAGTTACCTAATGATTTGAAATAGTCAGCTACGAAATAAGTGGCTCCATTGTCAAACACAGTACCCAACTCCTTGTTTATGGCGATGGATTTGGGACCGGGGATGGATTCAGTGGTGATTGTTGGAGCCTGCGGCTCCGATGGGAAGTATTTGGCAGCAGTTGAATTGAATCTGACAAGCTTTGCAAGTTTTGGTTTGGTCGTAGTCGCTCTTCTCAACATTGTGATTAATTTGTAGGAAAGTCGGAAGGAAAATCTATAAATGGAAGGTCAAAAAAAATGAGGATGTTTCTGATTGAATTGATGAACAAACTGAGCTTCTTCTCTTTTTTGCTGCTTTCTTCTTCCTCTAGTCGTCTTTCCTTGTCCTATTTATACTGCAACACAGATCAGACACCTCTATGAAAATATATTGGTACTTAATTGGAGTTCGTTTCCCGCGCGTGGTTTTTGAACAAAGAAAGTATCTTTTTGAAGTGATTACACAAAAATGGAGAGACAAAAATAAGAGGAATTTTATTTTTTTATTTTTTTTGTTTTTGTTTTTGTTTTTGCATCTTGTTAAAAAAGATTAAAAAAAAAAAGACCAATTCCATCAAATCACTTTCCTTTCCCTGTATGGACGGAATTTGGTAAGTGAAATAGGAGGTGGTGAGCTTACGTGCATCGCCAATCACTAAACCACTTATACTTCTTTGTAGTTTACAAGACATGAAAAGATAAAGTGCTTTAGCAAAATAAATTTTGGCGTGAGAATTGTGTCGAATAACAACTACACATGCCTACCCTTCTACATATACTACACAATATCCACAATGAATACTTTGCCAAAAATGTTTAACCCTTGGGAAGTCGTGTATGCAAAATCAACTATGAAGTATACTCTGTTTTCTACGTTTCAGTCAAGTAACCTCGACTACCATTTTCTAGACTGCCCCCCCCTTTCCGTCCCCAACTTATCAACATCCCTTTTCTACAACATCTCATCACATTACTCACATTAAAAAAGATAACATGCAATTAACACATTTTTTTTCATCTGCACATATAAATATATACTATACCGATGTAAACCTCTCCTCTCTCCTCCAGAACTATTCTAATTTACATTCATCAATACGAAAAGAAAAGCAACCACAACACGAACAAGTTAAAACGTACAATTACTTCATTCATGCAGCCACCGCAAATTCGCAACTTTGCAGCAAACTAGCTTAGTGTCTTCTTGATTCAGCAATGATCTTGTTCATTTCTTCAACCTTCTTTCCGGCTCTCTTGTGAGTACCCAATCTCTTCTTGGCCAACTTCTTAGCCCTCTTCTCACCGGCATTTCTAATCAATTCAATCAATCTTCTTTCGTATGGAGCCAATCCGGCAACTTCTTTAACGATTGATCTAACAAAAGTGGTTCTTTGTGACAAGGCACCCTTTCTGTACGAAATCTTTGGGGCAACTTCCTTGGTGGCAACCTTGTGGCCTTTGTTTAAACCTACTGCAATTCCTATAGAAAAATGGAAGTTAGTATTTGTGACGACTTTTTGATTGGTTTCGAGAAGAGCTGTAGCTTGAATTAAGGAGTAGCGAAAGGCGAGGGAGGGGAAGACATATTGGGACATTTGAAAATTGAGATGGGAATACATCAATATCGAGTTAATGTGCTGGTTGATATTGTTGAATGTTCATTCACGAAGGTGGTGGATTGGTCGTTGGATGCTGATGAGGTGTATGATATGAGGGTATTTTCCCATTTCGTAACGCATAGTTTCTCATTCAAACTCGGCATCGGCAACAACAGTAGTCATCTAACTCAATAGATTGAATCTCATTCGTTGTGGAATATGTTCCGTATCCTCATTGCACATCGTCTTCCGATCATGTCTTCAAATACTTCCTCTGCGTATTGTATCATGTACCTGTTAATCTCCCCATTGCATTATAACTCTCCCCCGTTTGCTTGCTCTGTGGATCCAAACGCTTTGGCAATCCCCTTGATATCCCTATAGGCTAATGACACATACCTGACTTAGCCATTTTTTATATGATGTGGTGATAGTAAGTGTTCTATGTTAAGAAAGGGTTGGTAAAGTCTCTTGTAATCAAAAATTTTTCATGAGTGGCAGAGCGAGACAGAGAGAGACGGAGAGAAAGAAAAGAGAGGCAGGTAGTGTGTGTGTGTGTGTGTGTGATACATAGAAGTAAGTGGTAGCGATGCAACAGTACTGCACACAAAAAAAAAAAAGAAAAGAAGTGGACGAGAGAGCGGGAAAAGTAGTGTGTATGCTAATCACGTGAACTATTAACCATCTAGGGCTACAACTTCCTTCATTCACCACAAGATTCCATCCAACATGCACTTTTATACAAACTATAAAGTCCCCCACTATTTACACAACTTGACCAGTAAAGTCATACCCATAAGCATCTAATCTATTTACAATCTCCTTCATTGACAACCATGAATACTGTTTTTCAAATTCCGTTGGTTTAATTGGGTAATAACTATCTCTTTGTACCAAATCAAACAATACTGCCAACAATTCTTGCTTGGTTGCAACAAATTTCCTACCATCAACAGGATGTATGAAAGTAACCGGCCTTACTTCCTCCCCACTATTGATCTCAACAGATCCCCTTTCTTTTTGTTCTAGTTGTTGCAACAATTGATATCTCAATTTCCAGCCAGTCAACCCCATAGTTTTGATTCTTGCCGGAGTCGATTTAAGTAAATATGGATCAACACCACCTTCTTTCGTCAATGTACGCAATACTCTAGTTGAAACTTTGACATTGATCTTTTTACCCAAAATTTCTGACCATAATTTGGCACGACGTATATTGGGTTTATGAGCCCTAAGATTCTTGTTGAAATATTCTGAACATGTTTTGGACCGTTTCCGTTGTAATCCACCATACAAGCCTCTGTTTTGTCTTTTGAAGAAACGTGCTTCGTATTTGTATTTAGGGAATTCAGGTATATGCTGGGGGATCCGCAAACCTCGAGGATGTTCTTGGCCTATTTCGTACTGTGTTTCATCGATTGGTTTGGTGTATTTCAAAATCTTGTAAAACTTGTCGTAGTTTTTGTTGTTTCTTTTGTTGGTGGATAAAAGTGTAGTGGATGAGGAGAGTGGTCTTAGCGTGAGTTGGGGTTTGTGTATGAGGAATAGTGAGGATGCACATGTACGTGCTAATGGTATACTGCCATTGACCACCTTGAAGAAGTTCATGATGGATTAGTATCAAAAAAAATATATATATAAAAAATCAAAGGAAACAGTTCAAAAGCAGTTAGTTGGTGGTACCTCCTTTCACCAATCACCGTGAAGCTTTGTAGCATATGTATATTTTTTTTTTCTTTTCTTTCCATTTCTGATTTCAAGTTCTGATGGAATTGGTAGCGCTAAATTTGTTTGTCGTGGAACTTATGCGACACGACACAGATTAAAGTGAGAGATGCAATAAAGAGGTAATAGACAAGAGACATTTATTTCTGCACCATTCGGTAAGGTAAGCTATGTAACCCAACAGGACTACTTGTGTTCGTGCCATTGTGTTCAAAGTGGTCACAACTCAGTGATCGTCTAGGGAGCCTCTCTCTATTATAGAAGTAATCTAATTACTTTGGTAGCGTTTATTTAGCGAGAGACCAATTTCCTGATATCCCCTCCCCCACTGATAAGAGAAGAAGAGAAGCAGAGAGAGAAAGACGTTTGGTCGTGTATTTTAGTACAGAATTCTAATATGTGTTTTTTTTTTAATATTAGATTAATTACACAAACACAAACACAAACACAAACACACACAAATAAGTGGTTTTATTAGTACTGAGCATTGGATTGAACCAAAGTGTCTTAAGAGAATGTGTGATCTTCAAGATTAGTCAGAAGTAAGGCAACACCTCACATCACATCACTGGCGCACAACTGTAAGAAAGAGTAGTAGTTGCTGTAGCTCAATTGAAATTACAGTGGGAGAGAAATATGTGTACTTCTGTCTCTCCTAATGAGTATCTATATCAATCGTCTTAATATATTCTTAGAGTAGACTACTGCAAGAATAGTTTGATTAATAGGTGAGTGTGGCTCACCCTCTAACTTCAGTGTCTACTTCATCAACCAACTCAAATTTCAACCTGTGTATGAATGAAGAAGATGACAAAAGGAAGCGGATGTAAAATAACTTTAAAAAAAAAAAGAAATTTAATTTTAATTTAAAGAGAGAGAGAGAGAGAGAGACAAATTAAAAATAAAGGGATTGTAATAATAATCATCATCATCATCGTCATCATCGAACATCGATTAATTTTATATACAAACCCATTGGGATAAAGATAGCAGAATCTTGTGTTTGTATTGACAACAACACACACATATACACACACTCACCTACAGCACATCTTACCTAATCCTATTACACTACACTACTTACTCATCTAATTGACTAATCACAAACAACCACTACAATCTTCTTTGTTTTTGTCTTCGCACCTCCCACCCCGTTGTTCATAGTAGTTGTTGTTGTAAACCAGCCAACAACTTCTTAACATATACACAGGGAAATTCTTGAGTGCACGGATCCTCAGGCAAGACATCACCCATTCTTCATCCGGTAGTTTATCCCAATCCCACAACCGCGTAATCTCATCCCCCGTTTTCTGCACTTTTTCAACCTACAAGAGCACCACGAACCAGCATCATCTATGGCAGACTTTGCAAAGTCCATATTTGGGCTTGTAAACTATCACAACAAAAAGGAGAATAGCCAATCACCAACACCTCCTCCTAGCTCATCGTCAAACACAAACCAGTCAATTCACCAATCACAAGTTAAAACAGATTCACAGTCAGATTCAAACAATTTTCATCATCATCACCAGCAACAACAACAACAACTACACCATCAGCATTTTTCACAACCACAACCACAACCACAACCACATTCACAATACGAAGAACACAGCACAAACAAGTTCATCCCCAAGGGTTTGGTTAGTGTTGCGCCAACCACTGCAACTGCTGTATCAACTACCTCATCGGTTTATGGAACCACCTCATCGAACGTCAGCAACGACCCTGGTGCGTATTTGAACCAAACGTTCAAAGTCAATGACTTGCAGCCACAACATAACAATGCATACCGCAGCATTTCTCACTACCAGTCTGCTGCTCAACATCAACAACCACAGCAACATAACAACAACCACTCTCATACCGAGCAAGGAGAGCGACCAACAGGTGCTGCGACTGTGTCCACCACCTCTTCCACATCTACCACAGCTGACTCTTCGCCAATGATCATCACAACCGATGAAACTGGTCAGACTATCAATTCCAGTGGCAACAATACTCAACCAAAAGGTAAACTTAAAGTTACTATTATAGAGGCAAGAGATATTAGGGCCACACAGCCATACGCTGTATGTACATTTGAAAGCTCGGAGTTTGTAACCAATGGACCAGACTCTTTTGGCAAATCACCAGGGATGTTGGGTGTTGCTGCCGCTGGGGGTGGATCATCTGGTCCAAGAAACATGTACAATGCGAACCATGCACTGAGAGCACTACCAATGAAGAGCCACAATCACCACAGCCAACCCAATCAACACCATCACCAAAGACCACAGTTGTACCAAAGGCAGATGTCGACACAACACTTGAATTTGGTAGGAGGTGAATCCACCAACCCAATATGGAACCATGAGGCTACATTTGATGTGGTGGGCTCTAAATCAGAACTTGACATTTCAGTATATGATGCAGCTAGAGATGATGCATTTCTTGGACATGTCAGATTATTTCCATCTACAATAAAGAATAAAAAGTCTCCTGCTGAATGGTTACAATTGGGGGCAAGAATAATTGGAGAACGGGTGTCTTCGGGCTCAATTCAAATCAAATGGGAGTACACTTCATACGATGGGAAAAAGGCTTATGGTCCTGACGATTTCGAATTTCTTCGGTTGTTGGGTAAGGGAACTTTTGGACAGGTTTTCCAAGTCAAGAAGAAGGATACATCAAGAATTTATGCCATGAAGATTTTATCGAAGAAAGTGATTGTTAAGAAGAAGGAGATTGCACATACTATAGGAGAACGAAACATTTTGGTTCGTACATCAGCAGCTGCGTCGCCATTCATTGTGGGGTTGAAATTCTCATTTCAAACTCCAGCAGATTTGTTCTTGGTTACAGATTACATGTCAGGAGGAGAGTTGTTTTGGCATTTGCAAAAGGATGGTCGTTTTACTGAAGAACGTGCTAAATTCTACATTGCCGAGTTGGTGTTGGCCTTGGAGCATTTACATGACAATGATATCGTTTATCGTGACTTGAAGCCGGAAAACATTCTTCTTGACGCCAATGGGCACATTGCATTGTGTGATTTTGGCCTTTCCAAAGCCAATTTGAATAACGATGGAACTACCAATACATTTTGTGGCACCACAGAGTATCTTGCACCGGAAATTTTGTTGGATGAATCAGGATACACCAAAATGGTTGACTTTTGGTCACTTGGAGTATTGATTTTTGAAATGTGCTGTGGATGGTCACCTTTCTATGCTGACAACACTCAACAAATGTACAAAAATATTGCCTTTGGTAAAGTGCGGTTCCCCAAGGAGATTTTGAGTCCCGAGGGACGATCTTTTGTCAAGGGTCTTTTGAATAGAAATCCCAGACATCGACTTGGTGCCACTGATGATGCCAGAGAATTGAAAGCTCATCCATTTTTTGCCGATATTGATTGGGCATTGTTGAAAACCAAGAGTATACCACCACCATTCAAACCGCATCTTTCATCTGAAACAGATACATCGAATTTCGACCCTGAGTTTACCTCTGAATCGACATCAGACTTGAAAAAGCAAATGGAAATGGCGTCGACACCATTATCTCCTGGAGTTCAGGCCAACTTTAAAGGATTCACCTATGTTGACGATTCGGCAATGGATGATCATTTTGGCAGATCTTACCGTATGAATACGTTCAAGAACCCTGGCTCGTTCATTCCTGGTGACCCCAACTTGCCTCCTGCTGAAGATGCAGTTGATGATGATCAGATTGATGAAGAGGATGAAATGGAGGTTGATGAAGAAGATCATCAAATGGATGATGAATTTGTCAATGGCAGATTTGACTTATAGATTTCACTTTTTTGTTTTTTTATGTTTTTTGTTTTTATTTATCATTTTCCTTTTATAACACCAATTGTCAGGTGGTTGTCTTTTCTTTTTTTTTTTCAACTTCATTGTGCTCGAGAGAGGTGGAGCTTGTGGTGTTTGAGTATCGATACTTCCCATCGTGTGATTTGGAGCCGGAAACTATCCACCATGTTATTTTTTGTTTGTTTATTTTGTTGTTATAATTTTCAATTGCATTACTGTCACATTTCAGGCTTTTGCAACTGTATAGATAAGAAACTCTTTTGTATAGACAATGCCTATAATAGAACTCCTGAATAGATTTGGTTCCTTTGTACTTTGAGTGTTGTGTCTAGTTGCAAAATCTAAACTGCAACTTATGCGTGTAAGTTGTTCAAAAATGTCCCTCTCTCTCTCTCTCGGTGAAGAAAAAAAATGAAAACCCGCAAGAAAAAGAAAAACAAGCCGAGGGAGGCAGAGATTGAGCTAGCAGAGTGGATATATGTATATATATATACGTATACGCACCCCGTACGAGAGCCAAAACCGTTGCACTGTCGATCACACACAGAAGAACTAAGCAGAAAACTCACACGTAATCTCCAAACAAGATGCCACATCCGGGAAGACCAAAGGGTCGTATGAATAAGAAAACCCAAGCCTTGCAACAAGAGGCATTGGCAAGACAACAAGCTGCACAAATGCAAGCGGCTCAAGCGAACAGATTAGCTCAAGAACAGCAACGACACCATCACTCCAAGCATGAAGCAAGCAATATTAAGGAAGAAGCGGGTATTCAACTCCATGATGAAGCTGATTTGATAACGTATCGTAACGATGCACTAATAAGATACATGACGAATCACGAATACATTGAAAATGTTCTTGCTAAACCCATTCACACTTCGAAGATACTTCCACCTTCGCTATATCCAACGTTACCGAAACGCAATGTTGAAGATTATGGCATTGCAACTCCTGAAGAGATATATTATGGAGATTTACAGTATATGAAGTATGTTGATGAGCAATTGCGGAAAAGCGTATCGATCATGAAGCAGGAGGATGATCCCGGGTTTGTTAAATACTTGTTCAACTCCGATAATTATTCGTACCGAAGAGCCAAGTTTGCCGAGTTGGTTACTTTGCAACAGGAATTGAATGACAAGGGGTCGGTTGAGAAGCTTGATAATGAGTATCAGCTGATTATACAAGAGTGCAAGGACAAGTTTCTCCAGGAGTATAAATTCCAGTCAAATACCAAGGTGTATTCGATCCCATTGCAGAGTTTACGTTCTGATGTTGATGTGCAGCGCGCTCCCGAGGATTACAATCCTAAAGATTATGATACTGTTGTTTCACCAAAGGAGGAGCAACAGCAACCTGCACAATCGTCACATAAAGAAGTTGTTGTTTCGAATGCTGATGCCAACACTGATAATGGTGAGAAACCAGATGGGGCCACATCGATTGACAACAATGATTTCAACTCAAATGATATTGACTTGGATCTTGACAGTAATCCCGATGGCATGTTTCAGTTTGTTGATGAAGCCAATGACAACTTCGATAATCTTGCATCGTCAATAACGGATGAAAATAATGGGCCTTCGCAAAAGCAACACCAAGGGCAACACCAAGGGCAACACCAAGAGCAACAACAACAAATGAGTGCTACTTCTAAACTGGAACCTGATGACAATGCAAGTGCTCAGAATCCTCCAGACTCAGCAGCCACGGCGTCCAACTCCAACTCCAACTCCAACTCCGACAATATACGGCTGGACACCAACGCCATTTCCACCGCTGAGCCACAACAATCACAGCAATCACCCGAAGCCCAACAGACGCAGGAACAAGATGGTGGTCAAAATGTAAATGATGTTGGCCAAAACGATGGTGATGATGACGATCAGCTCAATAACGCAATGGTGGCTGAAATTAACGACTTGTTTAATGACAATGACCATGATATGGACCATCACCTGGCTATAGTGAATGATGATATTGGCGATCTCTACAATTTTGACCAAGGTGACAATGGTGACCTATTGGGAGGGTCGGAGTTTGAGCAGGATTTTTTGAGTCAGATTAATCAGAGTATGGAATAGAGAGAGCGTAAAACGGACGTAAAGGAGGGGGGGCTGTGTGTGTGTGTGTGTGTGTGTAAGTAGATTCTTCTGTAATATTATGTATCTTCAATCTGACGTCTAGATGCTACATTAGGTTGAGTTAATCACTAATGAGTTGTGTGCTTGAAGAATGATTCGGCGATAAGTAGATTCTTGTCGGATATAATCTCTGCACATTTACACACGCGCATCAGAAAAATTTCATTTGTAACCTCAACAATTGAAAAAGCCCTTTTACTCGCCAGGGGACGAAATATCTCAAGCATATAGTGTATTGTATTACTCACCTCCATTGTGCATATATCCATCAAGAGTAAGAGCTCCTCTGACTCATCTCCAGCCAGCCTACGCCCCAATTTTTGAATAGAGTCCTGTGCTCTATTGACCTTTCTCATCGACATCAGCAGCACAAATAATTGAATATGGAGGAGATAGATTATGATTTGAAAAAGTTTCGAGCACCCCCAAGAACCCCTCAGCCCCCTACACGATCCAAAATACGGCAGCAAAAGCTCAAATATGCATTCATTGGGTATATTGTGGTGCTAGTGTTTCTCGCAATAACTCAATTTATTGGTGTTGGGTTCTTCACTCGTGGGTTCCTATTGTCAAGAGACGTGCTTCCTAATATAGCCACATGTGATGAATTTGGTTCATGTGTGCCGCCTCGATTCAACAAAACTGTCATTTTAGTCATTGATGCATTAAGATTCGATTTCACTATACCGGTGGATGGTTCAGCAGAACCGTATCACAATAACTTTCCGCTTTTGTATGACTTGGCCCAGAAAGATAATGGAGTCTTGTTGAAATTCGTTGCTGATCCACCAACGACGACATTACAGAGATTGAAAGGGTTGACCACGGGGTCGCTACCGACTATTATTGATGCTGGAAGCAATTTTGATGGAGACGCAATCGATGAGGATAATTGGTTGTTGCAATTGCACAAAATCAACAAAACTATTGCATTTATGGGCGATGATACATGGACTGCTTTGTTCAGTGCTTATTTTGACCCAAGTTTGAACTTCCCTTATGATTCTTTGAATGTGTGGGATCTACATACTGTTGATAATGGAGTTGTTGACCACGTGTTTCCATTGATGGAAGCGCCACAGACTTGGGATATGTTGATTGGGCATTTCTTGGGTGTAGATCACGTTGGTCATCGATATGGGCCTAGGCATTTTTCAATGAAGGAGAAATTGAACCAAATGAATGATGTCATTGGCAAAGTTGTTGATAATTTGGATGAAGATACGTTGTTGATTGTGTTTGGCGATCACGGAATGGATTATACAGGTAATCATGGTGGGGATTCGCCAGATGAATTGGAAAGTGCAATACTTTTGTATTCAAAGAAGCAGAAATTTTTCAAAAAGGATAAGCTGTTCTATGATATTACAAATAAAGGTGCGGGATATAGACAGGTTAATCAAATCGATTTGGTGCCTACGATATCATTGCTTTTGGGACTTCCCATACCATTCAACAACTTGGGGTATCCCATTGACGAAGCGTTTGCCAATGTCAAAGAAGCATTGCGTGCGGGGAAGTTAACTATTGAGCAAATCAAGAGGTTTAGGGACTTGACTCCAAGTTTATCCGAGTCACTACTCGATCAATATGAGAGCTTGATAAGCTCCTACGAGTCAAGAACCAATGATTTGAGCTTTATTGAACAAATGAAGCGGTACCAGTATGAATCGTTGGATCAGTGCAAAACCCTCTGGGCAAGGTTTGACTTGCGTTTTATTGGCATTGGAATTGGAATTTTATTTCTATCATTGACATTTATGATCACTTACGCCAGGTCGATCCCTGCTGTAAGAGTACTGACTCTTTCATTTGAGTTTATTGGGTCGGTTGTTGCAATGTCGATAATTGGAGTGGTTTTAAGTTTCTCCATTTATATTGTCCTCAAACCTGGTGATTTCACATTAAAAATTTGTCTTTGTATTGGAGCTGTCTTGGGTATGGTTGTTGGGTTCTGGGCTCCTATTATGGATAGATTCAGCGTTGAATTTATCTGGCATCAAACGATTGATTTTTTCCAATTCAATTTCAATAGCTGGTCATTCATGGGCATTGTTTATGTTGCTTTGCATTGCTTAATGTTTGCTTCCAATTCCTATGTTGTTTGGGAAGACAAGATGGTGCTGTTTTTCTTGCTTTCTTTTGGAGCCAGTTGTGTTTATGCATTATCGGTGAAAACTAACTTGTCTAAGGAAGCCAAGATTTTGGGAATCAGTCATGCAGTTACATTTCTAGTATTGACTAGATGTGCATCCATGATTACCGCGTGCAGAGAGGAACAACGACCATATTGTGAAGCTAGCTTTGTATCTCTGTGGTGGTCTATTGCTGTTCTTCATCTTCTCACTTATTTGCTTCCGGCATTTATCAAGTCTTTCTACAAATTATCGGATTCGTATTATTCTGCAGCCCCATTGTGGATAGGCACGGGACTCAAGTTTCTTTTGTTTATGAATGCCATGTATTGGACATTTGAGTATGTTCAGAATAATGAGTTTTTCAATACTGCTCGATTCAAGATTAGTGAACCTTTATTGAAATCCTTGAAGCTTGCGATTGCAAGACTTGTGTTGTTTATTTCATTGGTTTTGGCCAATTTCAGTTGGTCGCGAGGTCCACTTTGTGTTAAATTAGAATTGGTTGAAACAAAAAAGGAAGATGATGAAGAAGACGATAGCCTGAGCGACTCTGATGGTATGACGACCCAGAAATCGGCATCCATCTTGGGATATGGTAACGTTTACGGATCATCGTATTTCTTGTTAGTGTTGAACTTTACGGTTGCAGTGATGTTAACAACAAAGCCCATTGGCGCGATATCCATAAGCATGTTGATCATACAAATATTGTCCTTACTTGAAATCATTGATGAATTGGGATTGAGAAAGAATTTGGTGACGCCAATCGTTTTTGGTTTGTTGGGATATCAGCATTTCTTCAGTACTGGTCATCAAGCAACCATACCTTCAATTCAATGGGAATTGGGATTCATGACAACGGAAACAATTGTGTTTCCATTCACTCATTTGAATATCATTCTAAACAGCTTTGGCTCCTTTTTCTTGGTGGCATTGGCAGTGCCCTTGATTACAATTTGGAAAATTGTCCCTTCGCCTAAACCTATAACGGTCTTGTCACAAATCATAACGAACATAACTACATTGAGCACGTATCTCTTATTCACTGGGTTGAGCAGTTCGATCTTTGCCGCCCATTTTAGGCGACATTTGATGGTGTGGAAGATATTTGCACCCAGATTTATGCTTAGTGCAATGTTGATTGTATCGATTAACATTTTCATGATTGTGATTACGTTATGGGGATCGGGAAGAGTGTTGAAGCAAGTCAATAGAATATTTGGTAAATAGTCCTACGAACGTTATACTACATTATTTATTAGCATTTTAGAGAGGAGGGCATGGTATATTCTCTGCTGTTAAGCGCTTGCTCCTATCAGAGGAAGAAAAAAAAAAAAAAAATAAAAGAAAGCGGAATTTGAATTTCTTTTTGTTTTAGTGAAATTTTGATTACCTATTGACTCAATATATGTACAGCNTACCTCTAGATAATCATAAGTGTAAAATCAGTCTAAATGTAACCAACTGACTTACTTTGTCTTAATCTCGTGTTGACTGCAGTACCTTTCCTACAATCATGGTGATTCCATGTTTGCACTGTTGCACCATCTGGTCCAAATGAAGTAAAACTCGCTGATTTGCCTATAGCACTTTGAGCATTATTGGTATTGTGACACAGTCCGTCAGTATTAACAATATCGCTCCATATCTCGTTGGCCTTGCATTTTGTATCACTGTGTCCGTATAGTTCCATGCCATAGTCTCTTCTATACAAAGCTTTGTATCTGATATTGTTATTATCGTTGTGTTCCATTACCATATCGACAAGACGACAATCAGCTTCATTTGTAGCAGTGTTTACATCTATACCATTCGCATAGCTTTCAAGACATCTAGCTAATTCCTTCAACTGCTCATCCGATATGTTATCATCATTGGCATTTACAGTCCATAAATAGTTCATATCTAGAATCTTAGTACCGTTGAATCTTGTTATGCTAAAGACCTGTTCTTCAGCTCTAGTCGAATTCTCGCCTAGTATATCTTGTACACATTTCTCAAAGGCTGTGATATTCAGTACGCATTGCACTATCCCTAAAAATATTAAGATAATAACGAATATTGATCTTGCTATAATTGTCATTCCTATGCACAAATCGCTTAATGATAAATTTTTATTAATATAAGCGTAATAAAGGTTTATCATTAAGATTTTGTCGTATAGTCAACTCACTTGTCTCGAGTACACGACTCCGAAGTGTGACTTTCA